AATATTTAAATGTAAAGCCGGGGAGGGATGAAACCATTCATTCATAGCAGGAAAGCATAGTTATCAGCCACCTGGCACGCACAGATGGTATCTAGATTTGGGCAATGTGAATTTCAAAAAGCTAGAGGAGTCCTAGAAGTTTTAGCAGAAGGAAATGTTTGAGGAGATAAATGTTCCACTGTGATGAAATATGCACATAGGGAAGCATCACATTGCATTCCAGGGATGCTGCGATGGTCGGTTGCAACATCAGTGTGTCACAGATTAGAATCACCTGAGTAGGGGGCCACCCCCAAAGAACTGTCCTGAGTGCCTTGACTCATACAGGAAGTCCCAGCCCAAGTGTGTGGGCAGCACGTTGTGGTAGAGGCCCAGGAAAAAGGGGGCGTGGCAGGAGGAAGATCACTCATTCTCCTTTTGCTCTGCTCAGTTAGTGTTCCCTCTTTCATCCGACTTGTTTTTACTATGGTGGCTATTGATTTCGTCATTGATATAGATCCAGTGTGTCTAGGATTAAGGACTAGTGACTTTCCAGGAACCTTTCATGATTTCAGGACCAGATTGGAACTACTGAGGGACACAGCCACTGCCAGGTTGCCAACCACTTCAGTGTGGGACAGCCCCTGTGGGACAGCCCCTGTGGGACAGCCCCTGTGGGACTGCTCCTAATGCCGAGATACCCTGTCTCAAGGACTGAGCATCTACCAGGTTCTCCGCCTCTCAGGTCTGAGACAATTGGTTTTCTAACATAAACCTATTTTATGTTATATTGGTTCAAACAGAGAATCCTCACTAATGCAGCTATGCATGCTTGTTTTTATCCAATTGTTAAAATAAACTTAAAAGGGCCCATGAAATGGCTCAGCTTAACAGCCTGAGTTTAACCCCTAGGACCTCCACACATGCACCATACATCACAGAGATGCACCATACATGCACAGAGATGCACCATACATGCACAGAGATGCACCATACATGCACAGAGATGCACCATACATGCACAGAGATGCACCATACATGCACAGAAATGCACCATACATGCACAGAGATGCACCATACATGCACAGAGATGCACCATACATGCACAGAAATGCACCATACATGCACAGAGATGCACCATACATGCACAGAGATGCACCATACATGCACAGAGATGCACCATACATGCACAGAGATGCACCATACATGCACAGAGATGCACCATACATGCACAGAGATGCACCATACATGCACAGAGATGCACCATACATGCACAGAGATGCACCATACATGCACAGAGATGCACCATACATGCACAGAAATGCACACACAACCATAAAAAGTAAATAAATGATGCAATCAGACTTTGTCTTTTGAGACAGGGTCTCACTATGTATCCTCAGCTGGGCATAGTGATGCACCTTTAATCCTGGCACTTGGGAGGCAGAGGCAAGTGAATCTCTGTGAGTTCTAGGCCATCTTGGTCTACACAGTGAGTTCCAGGACATCCAGGGACACACACAAAAGAAAGAAAGAAAGAAAGAAAGAAAGAAAGAAAGAAAGAAAGGAAGGAAGGAAGGAAGGAAGAAAAAGAAAAAGAAAAAAATTTGGTTTTGAGAGAGGGTTTCTCTGTACAGCTTTAGAGCTTGTCCTGGCACTCACTCTGTAGACTGCCAGGCTGGTCTCAAACTCCCAGGATTCACCTGCTTCTGCCTCCCAAGTGCTTGAATTAAAGACATGTATGTACCACCGAATAAAAGACAAAAAATTTAAATAAAAAACCACAAGTGAACATAAATAGGATACTTTATATTTTAAAATATATCCAAAGAACTCTAAAGGACACTTTAATCCTTTTCTCATTATTTTGTATTTCCATTCTCCTTAACCACAAAACTGCTATTAATGGCTCAGAGGACATATCAGAGCTGAGCATGAGGTCCACAGTTTGGTTCCTGAAACTCCAACAAACAAGAACCCCATTAACATATTTTGTTAAAATCTTCTATTGTCACGGCATTCATATCTTCTCATAGGAAACTTGTGGATAAATTGAACATTAGTGTTTTCAAGCTTCTTGTGATGGTAAAGACCTAAGTTGGAGCATTTTTCTTGCTTTGTCATAATGTTAAGTATCATAAGAATGTATATGATCAAAGAGACACAGATGTAGCAGCACACATTTGTACAAGTAATTATATATAAAAAGAAAGCTTGGCTTGGGAAGGAAGCTTAGCTGGACTGGAGGCCTGGCATCTCCACTCAGGTCCTGGGTGTGTTTCCTGTCACTAGCTGGAACGGGACTCTGAACTCATCCCAGCCCTGTGTCCCTGTGTGGATGTGGCCTTGGAGAAATGTTTCCATGTAAATGAAAACACAGGAATGAAAGCTATTTTGTAGAGTAGCATCTCTCAAGTCTGTGAATTTTCCCCGTGTTATGTGCCCCAAATCACATAATACTTACTCATAGAGGGTTTTTTTTTTTGTTTCGTCATTCAGCAACTCAACTGAGTTCTCTTTTTTTTTGGCAAAGAATTAGAAATAACCTGACTTGGGAAAGTTTTTGTTGTTCTGTCTTCAGACTAACCATTCACTCTACTTTTGAGAAGTACAGTCTTAATATGCTTTGGCTCATTTGACAAAATGCTATAAAATGGTATTTCCTTACCTTTATGAAAAACATTTTTCTCATAGTTTTTCCCAAGGTCAAAGCAGGCACAGCTGGTGTCTGGTAGGAGACCACCTTCTGGGCCATATAGATGGTACCTTCTAAGTGGGACTTCACATGAGGGAACAGGCAAGCTAGCTCGATAGGGTCTCCTATATAAAGCTGCCAGTCCTATCCAGAGGGGGTGCAGCCCTCACGACCTAATTGCCCCCTATGGCTTCATCACCTTAGGGGTCAGCATCTTAGTGTATAAAGTTTGGAAATACTAACCGCATACCAGAGGGCTTGCCTCACATTCATTAAGCACTGAGACCCATTTTCAGCACTTTGCACAAACAATAAATGAAATTCTGGAGACAGGTTTTGCTAAGATCTTTCAATGGGGGTCGGGGGAGCTGATGAGATGGCTCAGTGGATAAAGACACTTGCTGCCTGCATAGTGCAAGCCCGAGGACTTGAGTTCGATTCCCATGACCAAAGTTAGCTGGAAGGAAAGAACTGACTGACTCCACAAGATTGTCCCCTGACCTCCACCTGGGTGGTGGTTCCAATGAGAACGGCCCCCATATAGGCTCATATATTTGAATGCTTGGTCATTAGGGAGTGGCGCTGTTTGAGAGTGGTTAGGAGGCGTGGTTTTGTTGGATTAGGTGTGATCTTGGAGGCAGTGTGTCACTGGGGGTGCTCTTGGGGTTTCAAAAGCTCAAGCCATGCCCAGCGTCTCTCTGCCTGCTGCCTGCGGATCCAGATGTAGAGCTCTCAGCTGCTTCTCCAGCACCTCGTCTGCTCCAGTGCTGCCATGCTTCCAGCCATGGCGATGATGGACTAAACCTCTGAAACTGTAAGCCAGCCCCAATTCACTGCTTTCTTTTATGAGTTGCCATGGTCACGGCATCTCTTCACAGCAATAGAACACTGGCCAAGACAACATGTGTGCTGTGACATACACGCACACAAACACACAAAAATAAATTTTTTTTTTTGGTTTTTCGAGACAGGGTTTCCCTGTGACTTTGGAGGCTGTCCTGGTACTCGCTTGGTAGACCAGGTTGGTCTCGAACTCACAGTGATCCGCCTGCCTCTGCCTCCCGAGTGCTGGGATTAAAGGCGTGCGCCACCAACGCCCGGCCACAAAAATAAATTTAAAAATAGATTAAATCAAAGGCTGGGTGGTAGGATAGCAATGACTTTCTGCCACCCTGCGCTTCAAGCACACTTTTGTCAAAAATTTGAAGCTATAAACAGTTCAATTTATGAGAAGTATCGGCTCTAAAACCTAATAGGCAAGTTAGTCTTAATTGCCAGCCTAATTATTTGAATCAGACTATCAAAAAAGTAGTGTAGTTTCCTTTCCATTTGGGGTAGGTGTGGATTTGCATCCCTGTGACAACTGTCTGAACCCAAATGACTCATGGGAGTTGTCCCCATTTCTGTGCATGTCACTCAGAAGAGAAGCAAATGTGCTGGTCTGAACTTAGCATCTGCCATGGAAGGTAGACAGCGCAATTGGCTCACGCTGGTTAATCCCCCCACCTTTCCCTGTAGACGGTCTTTCCTCCAGTGTACTCATTTGGACTTAGCCGGGTGACTAGACTGGCTGAGAGAAGATGAGGGTTGAGAAGCATGCACGGTGCCTGCCGACAGCACAGGCTTTTAGATTAGGTCTGTGGGTTCCCACAAGGTCCTTCTGCATCTGCCCCTGCACCCTTCCTCAGCCCACGTGAAGCCCAGCCACTGTCCAGAACAGGAAGGATCTGGTGCGGCTCAACATCCATCCTCAGACGGGAGCAGACCCCCCCTCCCACTTACAACTCATGTAACATTTTCTGTTGTAGGTCTTGCCTTGGGAAAACTGACCGGTAACATTCTTTGAATCCTATATCTAACTTTTTAAGCAACCAATTTGTTTACAAATAAGAGCATTCCTAAGTTAAAGCCCAGAGGTGGTATTATGGCCAGTCATTATAGTAGCCCATCCATGGAAGTACTCAAGCCGTCATTCCCAAATAGGCATACACTAGCAAAAACTGAACACCCAAAGCCCAGGAGGATCTGCTCATCAGCTACGTTTCCAGGAGTGTCTTTGCAGGCCACAGTCTCATCAAATGATAGTGTTTTCTTGGGCTCAGATGTTAATACAAACTGTAAACTGAGAAGGATTTATCAAGCAGGAGCTTATTCATCTGTGAAGATATAAAAACATGCTTACTTGAACTTTCAATTTCAGTTTAACCTACAAAGAGTTAAAAAAATACACTGAGTTCCACACACCTTTCTCCAGGTCCCCCTGCACTAACAGCCCCTTTGCCCACAGTGAAGAAGTGGCAATAAATGAAGTTGTGGGAACAATTTGTCAAAGAATTCAATAAATACATTAGTTTTATTATAGAAGATAGTTTAGATTTTAAAATGTCAGATTTTAGTAGCGCTATTTTTGGTCCCCTGTTAAGAGAAAATTAAAAAAAACTTTTAAAAACATATATGCAGCCTTATTTAAACATCATATATTGACATTGATAAAATACTACCAACTCAACTAAGGGTCATGCTTAGTTTAATGGTTTCTGCATAGGCAGTAGGTGAGTGTGTGTGTGTGTGTGGTATTTCAGAATTACATCACACATATAGATTTGGGTGTTGGTCACCACAATCAGGTCACAATACTGATTGGTCACCACATAGTCACCCTCTAGTTGTCTTTCATAAAAAAAGAAGAAAAAAAAGCTAGTAATAGTCTCCAAACCTCACCCTTGGCAAACACTGGTCCGTTTAGCCTCTCTGTAATTTTGTCACTTGCGGCATTTTCTATAAATGGAAGGACACCATATGTGACCCTTGGAGCCTGGCTTTTCCACTCAGCTCAGTGTTCTTCGGTGCTGCTGCAGTCCAGGCATATGGGCCCCTTTCAGGCTGGGGAGTAGCCTGCATGGCTATGCCTGTTTAGCTCTCCACTCCCCTGGCCCTGGCAGAACCTGTGGGCTGCTTCCACTTTGGGACTGCCCTAAAGAAGCTGCCAAAAACAATCACACAGAGGTTTGTGTGGGAATGCGGGCATGCATCTCTTGAGGGTAAGTGCCCAGGAGAAGAATGGCTGGGTTCATGGTAAATGTATGTTTAACCTCCTAAAAAAACCGGCCAAGTTGTCTTTCAGCACACCGGTTATAGTTTACGGTTCTGGCAGCAAGGTTTGAGAGAGTCAGAGATTGACTGAGTGTTCCCTTTACAGTGCAGAGACTTTTTAATTTTATGGAGTCTCATTTGTCAACAGTTGCTCTTGTTCCCTGAGCTGTTGGAGTCTTTCTCGGGAAGTCTTTGCCCATGCCTGTAGAATGTCTACCCTATGTTTTCCTCTGCTGACTCCTGCAAGGCTCCAGGGGTAGACATGGCTGGGGCTGTGAGAAGATGGAAACAAAAAGCTGGGATTAGGAGGACTGTGTTCAGCACGCTGGAAGTTCAGCCTGTTGTTATATAAATCTGGAGAGAGAGGTGGCTCTAGCTGGATGACGTGGCAGGCCTATTACATACAGATAAAAAAGAAGGCAGCATTTCTGGGTCAAGGAGACAGGCTTAGATGATCTGGGCAGGAGCAGCTTCTGGGGGAAGCAGGTTTCAGGTCATAAACACCTGGGTGCAAATCGATGGTGAACATTTTCTGCACACACTGTCAGCACCTACACTTGGATCCCAGAGGGAGGTTTTGCCATTTCTCTGAGCCTCACCGCAGGGTGTGTGTGTGAGTGTTTTGCCATTCTCCCATGGGTCTAAAGCTATAGCCCTTTGATATGACTGTCCCCTGTCAGCAGCACACACTCACTCAGGACTTCACTCTCTTAGGGCTTCTTCTGCTCTAGCACAGCGCTTCTCAACCTCCCTAATGGTGTGACCCTTTATTACCATTCTTCATGGTAATTTGTAGACTCTGATTGCCCTGTGGAAACACTGGGCTTTCCTAGCTCTCTTAATGCCCTCAACTCTCCCCATGTAAAATCAGTGGGTATAGTTTAGAGGCAGTCTTGTCGTTTGATGCTTCTACTCAACAGACGGTTTATAAACCAATGTTTTTGTTGGTGAGACGGCAGTGTCAGCGTTTGGTTTGCTTGTGTTTTGGTATTTTGTGGAGTTGAGAGCTTTTTCTGGATGTGTTTCTAATGTGGAGATTGCCTTTGGAGAAGTTGTATTTGCTGCCTTACTGACAAATTCTAGCCTTAATGTCTTCTCTTTTACTTTTCTGTTCTACTTCAGATACAGCTTTATATGACTCCTCACTCTGCAACAGCTCCAGAGTGTTTGATATTAAATTACATAAAGACCAAAAATTTAGTGGTATGGGCTCTCCTTTCTGATGAGCTCATCTCAAAGTTCTCATAACTTGTGTCCATACCTTCAGTTTCCACTGAACATGAGGAGTTGCCTGAAACCAATGACAATGCCATTTAATTAATACCAAAAGCTCTGTATAAAGCAAGAGCAAATGCTGTTGGTTGCTGACTGGAGGCCACAGCATCTTGTTAAACACTCAGAGCGTTTACTCATGGTTCTTGGAAATCAAAGCTGGTATGAATCTCTCTATCTGTGAGAAGATGAATCAGGATGGAAGCGTCAGACACAGCACTAAGACAACACATGGGTGGAATAAGGACTCAGGCATCTAGATGCAGAGCACAAACTATAGCCTCTGTAAAGCACTTGAGTTATAACAGAATGGTTGACTTGCATTATATATCATAGAGAGATAGCTTTGAGTCCACCCCCAACGCTCAGTAAAGGGTGTTGAGTGAGCACACAGTGATAAATAAAACCAAGATTAAATAAAAACTCCCATGGGCTGGAGAAACGTCTCACAGATAAAGAGCAACACTTATTGCTCCTGCAAAGGACCTGGGTTCAGTTCCTGGCACTCACATGGTGGTTCGAATCATCCATAACCATCATTCCAGGGGACCTTTGTTCCAGAAGGCCCCTTTTCTGACACTGGGGTCATGAGGCATACAGATGGTACACATGCACACATACATGCAAAATACTCATACACGTAACATCTTGAAACAACAACAACAACAAAATAAACCAAGAAATATAGTGTTAAGTGCTCTGAGGGGAAGTGGGTGGGGCCCAGGGCCTCATGAAAAATGAAAATAGAAAATGAAGAGAGAGAGAGAGAGAGAGAGAGAGAGAGAGAGAGAGAGAGAGAGAGAGAGAGAGAGAGAGAGAGAGGACCTGAAGAAGGCAGTTGCAGACTTGAGAGAATTGACAGGTCACAGGAATAGAGTCAAGATCTTGATACAGCCATGTGCTGAGTTTAGGGCTTTGGACACACACAGGCTGAGAGAGGTGGGAAACACAATAGTTCTTTCCTGATGGTGGTGGCGGCAGGGTTGGGGGTGGGGGAGTGAGAGGAGAGGTTGGGTCTTCTCATACACTGCCTAGTGATTCATATAACTTAGTCTTCAGTTCACCTCCAGGTTGCTTGCAACACCTAACACCAAGTAAATGCTGTGATAATTGTTGGTCTCTGTATGGCTTAGAGTATACTGATGGTTTCCATGTTTACAACAGAAGCAGCCGTCCTAGGCCTAAACACTCTAACCATGTCAGCAACAAAGTCGTATTTGGATCGATGATGAGAGCTGTCTGTACGGGAATCTGGACTCAGCCATGTGTTGTGAAATGTGTAACAAGCAGCCTGTGGTAAGACTTCCCCAAAGAAGCTGAGAATGAGAGGCTGGCAGACTAGAAGAGAGGAAGAAGTCACCGAGGTGCCGACGTCTTTGCATCCTCCTGTCTTGCTGCCCTAAACAGAACTTAGTTAGTACACCAGGTACTAAGCATAGCTCTATTGATGGCAGGCTGAATCAATGAATGAACGAACGAACCCCATATCCACAATTGGCAGGGTTATGTCCTCTCTTCTTTACCCCATCTCCCCATCTCCCTCCGTAAAATGACACTAGCGAGGTATTCCTCACGTGGGCAGCAGCAGGTGCTGGCGCCTGGAGCTGAGACCGCTGCTCACGCGCGTCCGCTGGAGGGCGAAAGTCGTTCGGACTGCGAGGGCAGTGACCGCCTTCCTTAGCGGTCCCTGTAGAGCGCCCAGGGTGCGCTGGGTGGAAGACGGCACGAGGAGTGAAATGGGTTCTATGTCCAGAGTAGGGCTAACTCAAGGGGGAAGCCAGAGGATCCTGGGGGTGAGGGGGACGCGGTGGTGCAGGGCTCAGCCACTGCCTCTAAGAGACACCCTTCCGTGATGAGAAGGAGAGAGCTTTGGAGAGAGAAGCCTGAGAAACCTACAGGCCGGTGGAGCTTTTCATCTGGGACCCTTCCGAGCCCAGGAGAGAGCAGGTGCGGGTACAGAAAGAATCCTCACGCTTAAGCTGGCAGGGTGACCTGCACACCCTACGTAGTACTGGCGTCCAGAGTAGCGCCAAAGGTCTTGGTGAGCGGTGAGGTGCCAGGGTCCAGTCACTCCGCAGAGGACTGGTGCCAAACACTGGAATCTGCAGACGCCTTTCTCCGCCGCGGGGTGGCAGAGTCCCGGGACAGACGCGTCCGACAGACCCCGAGGGGTGGCTCCGCCCGGGCACCGCAGGGAGGCCCCGCCATGGGGGGCGGAGTTGTAGACGCCCCCAATCCGGTGGGACCGCGCGGCCCCCTTTTAAGCTCGCGGAACTTCTAGCTGCTTCTCAATCTTCTCTCCCGCCAGTCTGCCTCCCTTCTGTGCGATGGCCTCGGTGAAGACTTATTTGACCAAGTTCAAGTCCTTCGTGATTTTGTTCTTCTCCCCGATCCTGCTGCTTCCACTCATCATTGTGGTACCTGACAAGGTCAGTTGCGTGTCTGGGCAGTCCGGCGGAACCCGGGTGCCCAGTGCAATAACGGGCACGGAACCCGGGAATGCTGAGCTGGAACGTGCGGATTCCCTCGCGGGGGAAAATCTCCCTGGGGTGCGTGCTCAGATGCTCCAGGCACCAGATGGGAGGTGACCTGCAAAGAATCCCAGGGACGCGGAGACCTTAAGGTGAACACGTCCTGGAGTGCACCGATTGCAGGGCGCAAGAACCTTTCGGGCAAACACGGAGACCTGAACGTTAGGACAGATCTGAACAACACAGAGCCCACCACAGGCTTTTAGCCTCTGACTCAGAATCCTCCCCCCTCCCCCCGGCCCCCAGAATGCACAACCAGCGCTATCCCAGCTCAAAGATGCTACTGGAGGCAGCAGATATTCCAAGGCCTGGGCTTTCCAGCGTGTTTTTTTTTTTTTTTTTTTTTTCTCTAGGGAATAGACATTCTCCAGCTGTAGATGCCTTCAGTCAGGGACCTGCAGGAAAAGAACATCACCTGTATGAATCTCTGTCTCTGGCCTGAATTTTGAGGCTCACTTTCCCCTCCCATGATCTATATTTCTTTCCTTCTCTGAAACCAAAGAAGCCGTTCTGAGTCCAAATCCTGCTGCAGCCTGAAAGGCAGGTCGGGCTTGGTCTCCACTGCCCACTGCCTGCTGTGGCTGAGGCAGGAGGCGGGACACGTTCCCAGAGCTCGCGCCTTGGGTGGCATGGCACTGGGTTGCAGGGAAGTCCCATGCCCTGGCTTCCTAATGCTTCTGGGAGGAAGGGAGAGAATGAATGGCCTTGGCTGCAGGGCAGAGGAGGGGCGGGAGCCCTGGCCGGGCTCTTTTGGGCTGTGTGCAGCCAGTTTGGCGAGGCCAGAGCTCTTTGAAGCCTTTTGTGGCTGCTGGCTGCTCCTTCCTCCATTCCCTCTTTCAGCCCTTTCACTCTCAGCCCAGACAGGAAACCTTGCTCGATCCTGCTTCCCCTTCACAGGCAGGTTTGGGAAACAGTGGGACTCTTCAGGGAATGTTTGGAGAGGAGAGGAGCGCACTCGGGCGCACGGTCTATTCACTTTACATTGTGCCTTTCACCAAGACCCTGTGCTCTCTGGGTCTGGGTGCTTTGGTGGGTACAATGGGGTGACCGGATTCAGACACTTTAACGCTTTGAGAGTAAAAGGGGATCGTTCTGGTTCCTAGGATGGGGGAAGGGAATGTGCTGAGCACAGGCCCCACATGGGCCAACTGTGATGGCTTTTCGGTTGCCACACTGTTAGTGAGCATCCACAGAGATTTGGGATCGTTCTTGTCTGTGGGAGGCAGCCAGGCCAGAAAGTTGTGATTTTAGCTCTGCTGGTTGTGGGAGGGGGGTTGATGTTCCCTGGAATAATTATAGTCGCTTGGTTGACCTTCCTGGTAGAGGACAGTATAACGAGGACCCCGCTTTCCTCCTGGCAATGCATATACACACTGGGGTGGGGGGAGAAGGAGAGAAAATGGAGAGGAGAGAGAGAATAAATAACATTGAGCCAGGTTCCCAGCTGGGGTGTATGTGTATATGCCCTGGGAATGGAGACTGGGGGACTGGGAGACCGTAGTGAAGGTTCTTCTAAAAGGCTCTCTCCCTCTGCCTTCCTTCCAACGGGATTAGGTACTGGGAGCCTGGGCCTCTGGCTTCCTGTTTTCTTCCTTTCTGCTTCTGTTTTGATCACCACCAAAGAACACCCTGTCGCCACTCACTATGCCACTCAACCTGGAGATACACAACATTCTCAGGAGAGAAAGTCAGAGGACCCTAGGGGCAGCCTGAGCACCGTTGTCCCAACCAGATGATGGCTTCCAGAACATGCTGCCCTCGGTGGCCCATGGCCCCTCTCCAGGTTCTTCTGCCTTGCTTGCTTCCAGATCCCGCTCTGATCCACTTTTCCTACCCTTTCTCTAAGTCTGCCTCTGCTTTTAAAACTCATTTTAATAAAACCTGCGACAAGTTTAATCACTTTGTTAAACTTGTATGAAATTCTTATTTCCACAAGTATAAAGTATTAAGTATAACGTGAAATCAGGTATCCTCATTGCCTTATTATTAATGTCTGAATGGACAACTTTTCCAAATACCAGTCAACTGAGCTCCTGTCTTACACACCACACACACACACACACACACACACACACACACACACACGGTGAAGGGAGAATTTTGTCTACTTCAGTTTCATGCAATGTGTAATGAGCCATGTAAGGGCATTTTATTCAATACTGGACTACAATCATGACACAATCAGATTATAGTACATAATGATGTCATAGCCACATCACTTTGCCTTAGTTGACAATAACGATGTCACCTAGGGGCACATGGATTGGAGCATGCCCCTTGCTGACTGATGAGTACTATCAGATGAGCAGTCAGCTCTGGCTGATTCCACTGTGCATGGGTGCCTCCTGACTCCCTCTTGTGAGCTAGGCTCTGTGTTGAGTGTGGCTTTTAAACCTACCTTCCTCTCAGCTTCTGTTGCTTTTCCAGACACCTTCTCATTGGCAGGAAGTGCAGTACATTTACTTAGAATTCATCATCGTCTCCAAGGTTGCCACTTTTTCCCTAGACATTTGTGTGTGTGTGTGTGTGTGTGTGTGCATGGTGTATGTACATGTATGTGTTTGTGCATTTGGAGGTCAGAGATCAACATCAGATGTTTCCTCAGCTGCTGTCCATTCTGTTTCTTGAGATAGGATCCTCAGTGGCCTGAATCTGACCATACAGGCTGGGCTGGCCTGTCTCCACATTCTTAGTGCTGGTTGGGACACTTGTGTGACACATCTGGTGCTCTCATTTGTTTTAGGAATCAACTTCAGGTCCTCATGCTTACATGGTCAACACTTTCCTGTCTGAGCTCTCTCTCTCTCTCCTGAAACCCACCCCTAGACTTTTCCAACATCCCTTTCCTACTCTGTACTCTCTGTGGACACAGTGCGAGTCTAGATTAGGGAGGGTTGAGTGTGTTGATTGATTATTCAGGACTGAGACGTCTCCCGGACTTCCTGCTAATGGGTGGAAATGAGGCAGTTAACTTTGTATTTCATCCTCTTGGAGGGACAGTTAAAACAGTCACAGGACATCTATAGTCAGAGTTCAGAGAATAAGGGCTACTAAGGAGTTCCTGGCTTTCACACATTCTGTAATTTACAGATGAGGTTGGGAAATGAACCTAAAGAGGAACCAAGACTGGGAAGAAGGGAGGAGACTTGTGAGTGACATTGTTTAGAATTGCTATACCATGACAATATAGCATTATTACTTAAGATTTCTCTACAACATATCTTTTTATTACCCATGCCCAGAAGGAACCTCCTCTACCACCCACCCCTGGAGCTCACCTATAGCTTTCAACCAGTATCCGTCCTATAGGAGAGGAAGGGAAGGCTCCCCTTTGCTCTCTGACCATAGACTGATAAATGAGAGAACATCTACAGATTCATTACTCACAGGAAATGAGTCCCTCCTCACAAGCCTGTGTTGATGCCAAAGCTCACATATCCTGTCCCAAAGGGGAGGGGGGACCATGAGACTGTAGGAGGTTTTAGGTGACTACTAAATGATTTTTAGGGTAACCCAGTTAGTTTAAACAAATAAATAGTTGCCAGGGACAAAATCCACTGGGTCCCACAGCATAGACAATGAAATAGTGCCTCAAATGGAAGGCAATGGAATATGACAAGTGTTTGCAAGGTATGTTGACAGACTTTGCATTTTGGCTTTTATGTGATTAGTAGCTTTTTGATGTTATTGTTTAGAGTCTTGCTTTGTAGTCCAAGTTGTCCTGCAGCTCACTATATATGCCAGGCTGACCTCGACTCTGCAAAGGTCTAGATGCTGGGATTACAGACAAGCACCACCATGTCCTACTCAAACTTCATCTTCCTCACTGCCTTGGGAGTTTAGTTAATGAAGACCCAGAGAAGGGATCAGGAACTATTGTTTCTTATTGGTAGGACCCGACTTAAGCAGACACACAGCCTCAGAGCTCTTCCAGAATATATTGTCTTCTACCTTCCTTCAATTCAAAATAATAAGCATTTCAGGGCTCTTCCTTCTGGGATAACAGTCCCTGAAGTCCTTCAATCATCTCTCCTGCCCACAGTACGAAATGTATAGACCATGGAGCTAGCTTTCTCTTGTCATGAATAGAGAGAATGTTACTGCTGTCTTTTGGGTGGAGGACAAGGATGATGCTAAATATCCCACTGTTTAGAGAACGGTCCCCACAAAAAGGACCTGCCCTCACCCCAGACATCAGTGCGTGGGATTGGGAAACATAGCTTCAGTCCACGGGGAGGTGTCCTGGACTGTTTATGGGGTACAATCTTTCTTTGAAAACATTTGTTTATTCTGGTGGTAGGACTACACAGCAGGAAAGAGGGAGGCAGAGAAAGGTTGGACTTGGAAACAACCTGACTCTGTCCTGAGCCTTGGAGAGCCACACTACCCAGGAGCAGGGCACAGGCTTCTCCATCACAGATGCAGCTGGGATGTACAAGTGAAGCCGTCCAGTCCTCAGAACTGTCTCTTCAGTTTGTCAGGTGTGCCTATGTCATCATCCTCATGGCCATCTACTGGTGCACAGATGTCATCCCAGTGGCTATCACCTCCCTCTTGCCTGCCTTGCTCTTCCCACTTTTAAAGATACTGGACTCCAAGCAGGTGAGTAAGCTGAACAAGGGCTGGTGGCTTTTGGTCCTCCCATATAGTCTCCTCTTTTCTGAGCCCCTCTGAGCTTCCAAGGCCTAGGGATAGCTTCAGAAGTCCAGTAGTGGATCCCTCGAGGACAAGTATAGACAGATCACTCCAAGCTACCTTTGATATCAGTATCTGGCTTGCTTAGCTGTCTAGGGGACTTTGGTAGCAACCTTGGACCTAAGTAGTATATGATTGGGGATTGTCCTGATGGGGCACCCCCGCCACCCTGCAGGTGTGTGTCCAGTACATGAAGGACACCAACATGCTGTTCTTGGGTAGCCTCATTGTGGCCGTGGCTGTGGAGCGCTGGAAACTGCACAAGAGAATTGCCCTAAGAATGCTGCTCTTTGTGGGGACCAAGCCCACCAGGTAAGTATAATTTCTTTCTCTGGCCACATGGCTCTACTGGGGCCCCTGGAGAGTGGAGTTGTGACACAGCAGGATATCCAAGAGGAAGGAGAGGGCTGGCCTCTGGGTAGGACAGGATGATTCTGCTTAGATCTTTGGGATTCAGGAGAGGAGAGGCTCTGTGTAAGACAGTGGGAATCTTCTAGATCTATGTGGAAAGCTAATCTACCTTCATGTGGAGCTGCTCTGCCATACTCTGGGTCTTGCTAAGGCAAACTTCCCTGCTAAATGGGAGTCTCTTAGAACCACAGCTGAGTTTGAAGCCTCTCTCTGGCCTGGCAACAATATAGACATCAGCAATGTTTTTGAGAAGAGGGGTGACAGGGAATCATGTCTGTGACCAAATTCCTAAAAGGAACAACTTAAAGGAAGAAAGATTTATTTCAGCTTATAGCTTTGGATGGTGACCAGTTTGTGGTTGATAGGTTTTACATATCTGAGCAGAATATCATGGTGACAGAAGTGTGTGGTAGCAGAAATTCATCCACATCAGACAGGAAGCAAGAGAGGGAGCCAGGAGCCAGGAGCCAGGAGCCAGGAGCCAGAGGTCATGGCAAGATACACCACCAAGGACAAGCCCCAATGACATACTTCTTCCAATTAAGCCCCACCTCTCTTTTATTATTTGAGAACTTCGTATGTGCATATAGTGTGTGTGTGTGTATGTGTGTGTGTGTTTGTGTGTTTATCAAATCCACACCATCCTCCCCACCCCCAAGTCTTCTGCTAGCCACCATATGCCCTGTGGTGTTGTGGTGACACAAATGATACAGGAGTAACCAACCACCTTCTGATTGGGCTTAAGGACTTCTCCAAAAGATGAAACTCATGGCTGTACCACTGACTGGGCTCCAACCATGTGGCTGGGTAGGTCACAGGCTCCACCTCTCATGTTTTACCATCTCCCAGTACGGCCATCACATTACAAGTCCATTGAGGGTTTAATCTACTCATTATGCCGGAGCCCTCATGATCTCATGGCCTGTCCTTCACAGTCACACCCGGAAGTGAACTCTTTGACGAGGCATTCCTTGGTCCAGCCAGGTTGACAATGAAAGTGAACTGTCCAGAGAGGGAGGAGGGACGGGATGAAGGGCGAGAAGAGAGCCGCTCAAACTGCCACCCCGTGTCGGAACAGCTGGCCTTGAGTTGTCAGGAAGGGTGGCTCCAGCTCCCAGCTGTGCCCTGGGGTGTGCTGGGTAGGGCACAAGGGACTCTGGCTTTCCTCTTTGCCCCTCCTCGACAGGCTGATGCTGGGCTTCATGTTCGTCACGGCCTTCCTGTCCATGTGGATCAGCAATACTGCCACCACAGCCATGATGATACCCATTGTGGAGGCCATGCTGGAGCAAATGGTAGCCACAAATGCAGTTGTGGATGCCTGCCAGGGGACGCTGGAGCTGTCAGACAAGAACAAGGCCGGCGAGTTTCCAGGTACACACTGGCTTAGCTATTGCAGCTGTGGCCTTCCCTGCAGCTGCCAGGTGCTATGGCTACCTCCTTCCTCCTGGTCTCCCTATGCCATTCCTTAAACATCCATAGAGGGGGAAGAACAGGGAAATAGTTTTTGCTATTAGTATTTGAGTTTTGGCTATCACATAAAAGATCAATCCTTTACTCAAGCTTAGAACATTGCTTGATTTAGTCAGAGGTCATAGCTAGTCCCCTGATAAAAAGCATTGGGTGTTCATTTGATAACTCATTTATGCATCTTTGAGCAGCTGATGGATGCTCCTCACCCTTGCTACTCTTATTTTCTCTGGAGCTGCCTTCTTGGCTCTCCTTGAGCAGGTCACCACTTACTCCACTCCCACAGGTCTTGGGGTTGCTTCCCTATTCTTTCCAGGGGTTCTGCATGGGAAGAGCTCAGGAACTGTGGCTACTGCCTGGTTTCTAGGTCCTGGGTGAGGCAACATGGAAGTGGGCATATGAACTCTGACCTCTGACTCTTGTGGATCCCAGTGGGATGACCTAAGTGGGCACTCTCACCCAAATCATCAGCTTCAGGCTAGACAGCATGGCAGCTCAGAGAAGGAGGACCTCACTAGGAGGAGAGGCATCTGAGGTAGACTGAATCCCTTGGATTCAGGGAGTAGCTTGAGCAACAAACAGGAAGGAGCCAAGAAATAGGAATACATGCCTTAAATTTCTGGGCTTGGCAGGTACATGGAGGATACCTAGGGAAGTCATGCGAAGGGATCATGGGAAGGCAGATGGGGCCTGACTGAGGTTTGGGGCCTGGAGCTGAGGAATGTGTGTGTACTGGGTGAGGTGTGTTCCTGACCTCATGTTAGTAGCAGAGTAAAGAGTTCTGAATGGCTGGGTGGCCCTCACAACTGACATGGCTAACAGCCCCATGTCCCCCCTAGGAAACCAGGTGATATTTGAAGACCTCACTGCGCAGAAGCAGGAGGATGAAGACACAAAGAACATGTACAAGGCTATGAACCTATGTGTGTGCTATGCAGCCAGCATTGGGGGTACGGCCACCTTGACCGGGACGGGACCCAACGTGGTGCTCCTGGGCCAGATGCAGGAGTGAGTCATGACTGTGCCTTCAGGAGACATCACCATGGGTTTCTGGGGCTGGAGTTGCTGACTCAGCCCTCTTCTCCTGTCTTGGCCCTGAAGCCATCAGTCTAGTAGCGTGGGAAGATGAACCCATATATAGTCTCTGTGTCCCAGCATCCCTGTACCCACTAAGAGTCCTCCTGGGGAATGGAGACCTGACATCCTGAAGCTCATGGACAAGGCTGCTTTCTGCCACGGGGCAAGTCCAACTTCTTTCAATGCTCAGGGCTTCTTCTCAGACAGGGAATGAGGTCTGGATTTAGTGCTAACATCACAGGAAATGGCAGTGGGTTGAAGTCACAAAAATGGACATCTCTAAAGGAGCCCCTCTGAGCTCACTAGCATTGGCTGATAATGGCCGGGCTCCTGTGATCTTTGGGGTCTACAAATGGCACAGAGAGTTGGAATTGGGTCACCTATTGCCTGGCAGTCTCCTTCACTATAGTTGCATTAATTGAGTATCCCCAAGGCCTTGGGTGCACTACAAGGACAATCTAGAAATGTCCATCCTTGACTGATGGGACATAGGTTGTGAGGATCCCATGTGTGGCTTCTGTCTTGTGCTGGGTGGGCTTGGCATATCATGGAGGGGAGAGAAGTCTGGGCCCCATCATAGGCTTTTCATGGTCTGCTGGGGGTGTCAACTACAGGGTTCTTCAGGCAGCCTGGCAAATAAATGTGCTAATTGAAGTACGTACAACTTATAATGGTAAGAAACAAAAAGGAGGCAGTGCCTCTTTTGTGTAGACAAGAGTTCTGGACAGGGGTGGGGAGAGCAGCTGGCACTGGAACTGGGCGGGACAAAGGAGAGAGTCTCAGACAGGGCAGCAGCTGGCCTTTCGGGTCAAAAGCTTGAGATTCAGTGACTAGGGTCTTTTGATCCTGAAAGCGTTTTCTCCGATCACAACCCTCGGACTTTCCCTTAAATTCTACTGCAAAAAACAGTCTGCCTGGCTGAATGGGGGAAGTTCTGTGTGGGATTTAATGTCAGGCTAAGGAGGCAGAGTCTGGTTTGGGAGGAAGGCAGGACTTGGAGAACATCTTCCAGTCCACAGAGAAGTCCCCTGCAGAAGTGCAGAGTGAGGTTCCAGAGGCATCCATGCACCCCCTTTAAGCTGCATCCAGATTGTGTGCATGTGTAGCAAAGGTGTACTTTTCCAGAGGCCAGGGCTGATTCAGCAGGGTCTGTATCCACAGGTGTCTCCCCAGTCATTCATTCTTCAGTCTTATCTCTTGCTGAGGCCATGTTCTGGGGCCCCCAACAATGATGAACCCTGGTGACTGGACCCCAAACTTATGTGGCCTGCTGTCAGACCCATCCATCTTTCAGGGTTCAGCTGCCTGGCCTGCTCCCCACAACTCAGCACGGCAGTGGAGGTACAGACCAGCGTTTCTCCTTTCAGATTGTTTCCTGACAGTAAAGACGTCATGAATTTTGCCTCTTGGTTTGGATTTGCCTTCCCCAACATGCTGATCATGCTGGTGCTGTCCTGGATGTGGCTCCAGTTCTTTTACATGAGATCCAAGTAAGTGTGGGCTGTGCTCAGGCTAACATCTGATGGTGCCAGACCCCTGCACCAAGCCCTCAGCTCTGGGCCAATCTACAAAGTTCTTCTCTCAGGCCCTATTTCTCCAGCCTGACCTGCTGGCTTATTCTCCCATTTTCATCATGCCGGGAGACTTGCTGTACCTCTGCGTGTGTTGTCCCTTCAGCTCAGAGGGAGACTTCCTACCTTCCGTCTGCTGGCCTCCCCAGCACCGAAGGCCAGCTTCGGGGCTGCCCCTTTCCCAGCTGTCCCTCTCCTCCACTCCACCTGGGAATAACTCATTTTTCTGATCACCGCTGGGTGGATCACAGCACTATGCTTTGACACTCATCCTCATGCTCCAATACCACGCCTTCCCCTTGGCTGGGTTCCAGGCCCCCTTTGACTGCTACATTGTCTCCTGGCTCAGGGAGCAAGAGCAGGTGTGCCATCTATGTGGCTTAAGGTAACTGAAAGAGAAGGCTGTCTCCACATGCCAAGCCAACACAGCTGGACACATTACCACTTGGTCACCTGGGTCTAGTAGGCCAGATCACAGCAATCCTTTTTAGACAGTCTGAGTTAGTCAAAGCTCAGGGCTTCACTGAATGCCTGTGGTGTTCCCAGAAATGTGCCAGGCCAGTTTACCTTCCTATTCCCAGCACGCTGCCAGTTTCACCCAGAGTCACCTTTAATGCAGCCAGACTTTGGACAGAAACTATGATGTGGAGCTGACAAACAGCTTCCCCATTCCACCCCAAGACAGAGTTTCTTTGTGCAGTCCTGTCCATCCTGGAGATCTGCCTGCCTCTGCCTCCCCCAGGGCCCTGCTAAATTGCTGTTTTAAAAGACATAAATTTACCAGTGGCACAAAGGTGACCATGCCACACTGGGAGGGAAGACAGGAACCACCAGGGAGCTTGAACCCAGAAAAAGATGGGTATCTCTGACCCCAGGGAAGAGATCTGGTAGGAAGGACTTCATGGGGGTAAATGGGGGCATTTAAAACAATCCATTGTCTCCTGAAAGAGGAACCCATTTTCACAAAATTACATTTTAAAATTGCTACACTTATTCCGAGCAATTACAACAGTGCTTACTAACACCAGGCAGTGTTCCCCTCTGGCCGCCTGCCCTCCCTGTGTCCAGACCTCCCCTACTCCCCGCAAAGGGGAATCAGCAACAGCTCTCTCCACTCAGCTTCTCGAATATACACCAGGACTTAAGTCCTGCTGCCCACTCACATCCGTCCAGTGCGCTGATCAGCAGATGGTCCCTTGAACCTGCCGAGGCCTCATGAGGGAGTAAGAATTAAAGAGACTATCAGGTATGGTGGTACAAGCCTGTAATCAGTCTTCAGGAACCTGAGGTAGGAGAATCGTGAGTTCCAGACTAGCCTGGACTACATAGTTAGACCTTGTCTCAAAGGTAAAAAGCATAACAAAACAAACAAACAAACAAAAAACCAAACAAACAAAAAACACAGGCCCACCCACAGCACAGGGGGTCAGTGGGTAAAGGCACTTGCTGCCAAACCTGATAGATGATATATGAGTTCTATTCCCCAATACCCACATGGTGGAAGAGAACTGATCCTACAAGCTGTCCTCTGCCCTCCATACTTGCACTGTATAGCATGTGTGCATGAACACACACACATACACACACATGCATGCACACACGCCTACATAAGTAAATGTAATTAACAAACAAAACCCCCAGGGATAAGGGTGTGGCCCAGTGGTAGAGCACTTCCATGGTATGAGGCTCTGGATTCCATCATCAGCACTACCAAAGAAAAGAAGGAAGGAAAGAGAAAGAGAGACACATTGCATGACAGACACTCTTTTAAGCACTCTACATTAATGAATTAATCTTCACAACAACCTGTGAAGTAAGTGCTAGAGTAGTTATTGCCAACATACAGATATAACAACTGGAGAGGTTATATGACCCATGTCACACTGTACCGCACAGAAGTGGTAGGCCTGGGATTGGAATCCAGTCAGTCAGCTCCAGAGCCTGTGCCAAGGGTTGCTGTCCTGGTGTTAGAAGGACTACCTACTACCTATGGCCCTAGGTTTCCCTGAAACCCTAAGTTCAAGGACACAGAGGGAGTGGTTGGGCAGCAAGACTATCAGGGCACCATCAGCCTCCCAGCTAGCAAGTGATAGGGACACAAGGGCCCTGAAAGCTTAGCTGACAACCCAACTATAGTTCTACCCGGCCCTGTACAGCTTCTACTGCTCTTGTGGGCCATGGGAAACCTGAACAGCACCTGCCGTGAATATATCAGGACTTCTGAATGCAGGCAGGGGAGAAGCAGGCCTATCTTCTACCCTAGTCCTCTTTGACATGCCACTCTAACTCAGACACCAAGTGCAGCATGGCTCACAGGTAGCCTAATTTCCGTTCCAGATCCACAAGGTAGAGAACAAATGGCTCAGCAGAAATAGGAGCTGTTTTCTGCCTTAGGCCACGTCCCACCACATACCAGAGCCTGGTGATCTCCCCACACATCTGTGGCTTCCTGGACCAAGTCTGGTGAAGGCAAGAATCTTGTTTCCCATCCACAAGAGGTGCCTCTACTATTCCTTGTATCCTGTATTCTCATCTGAAGATGGGTAGCAGTACCAAGGTCTTGCAAGCAGAAAACTCTTTTTTTTTTTTTTGGTTTTTTTTTTTTTTTTGGTTTTTACGAGACAGGGTTTCTCTGTATTGTTTTGGAGGCTATCGGTCCAGCCCGGCCTCGAACTCACAGAGATCCGCCTGCCTCTGCCTCCCGAGTGCTGGGATTAAAGGCGTGCGCCACCACCGCCCGGCATCAGAAAACTCGTTTTGCTCAAGTTTATAGACAGTCACAGACCTTCACCCAGGACCACTAGGAATGGCGTTGGCATATTACAGCTGTCTTGCACTCATGCATCCCAATCTGTCTCAACTGGAAGTGCCTCCCTTCTGGCTCCATGGCGAGACGTGTGCATCCAGGGGCCCCTCTCACTCTCTGTGGCTCTGCGGCATATCCAGTTCACTGTGGTGCACCACATTGGAGGCCATTCTTCTGCAGAAGGACACTGTGGTCCCTAACCCAACTCTAGGATGCCCACAGAACCCAGTGGCCACCAGATGAAATGAGCCCAGAGGAGAAGGTGTTCAGTTAAACTGAACAAGGGTCAGGAGGCTTAGTGTCACCACTGTGGGGGCAGCATCAGAAGACTGAACATTCCACGCAGCCCCAGAGTCTGTGGATCAGGAACTTCCCATCCATCAGCACCAGCTAGGCCGGGCCTTCTTATTGCCTGTCCCATGCTAGGCAACTAAAACCACCAAGGCCACCCCTTCTCCTGGAATGCAGGAGTCCCCAGGACAGTTCTGAAGTCTCTCAGATGTCAGGAAGTAGCAGGCCGGTGCTTGGAAGAGCATAGACTGGAGCCAGTGATGGCAGAGAGGTTCCCACCAGTGACAACAGAGCCATCCCCACACTTGGAGTTCTTATGAGGGAGGCCCTCCCCAGTTCCGCATGGAGGTCCCAGCTGCTTTTGAAGGCACAGGAGTCTCATTGCTGCCTCATGTTCTGATGACCTAGTAGTGTCCTTGGGAGCCAACTATGCCGCTGACATTGCCCCTGAAGGTGGCTCACATCTAGCACAGCCGTGGGAACCAGACACTCTTTGTCAGCCCAGCCTTCCTGTGAATTCTGTGCTGGGCCCTGAAAGGGTTCTAAAGGGGAGAGCTCCCCAGGGTCAATGCTCTTGGTCTTACTCCACTGCTTCGAGGCCAACATGTCTGGAAGAACTTGAGGCCTGCATTTTATCCATTACTGGCCCCAGTTGCTCACTCCATGCAGTCCAGTTGCCTTTCTCCCTACCCCCCCCCCACTTCCTGCCATTTCAAAAGTCAGCACCACCCCAGGTGAGGCCGTATAAGCCACCCTGGCAGGCCCATGTTCCGATGGAGCACCCTGAAGGAACCATCCCAAAGTAAAGCCTAGGCTGGCTTCCTTCCTGTTTCAGCCATAGCTGCCGCTTGCCCTAGGTCTCCTGAGTCCTTAATCCAATCCTACACTTCTAGGCCCTGGGAATCCAAGAGTCCCAGCCCTGTCAGGCCAGCTCTGTTAAGTCCCTCTCATTTCTCCTACCCTCTGGAATCATTAGTGATGGGGTGAGATCCCAGCACTGTGGAAAGCAGCTCCAGGCTGGGATGGGAAGAGGAAAGCTTGGGGATCATGTGAGTCCAGGTCCTGTAGGCTCTAGAACTTCCCCTAGCCTTCTTCCTGGGGACCCTGGAGCACAGTCTTCCCTTGGCTAACGGCTACACCAGCTCTGCTGATGAACACGAGTTACATGCTCTATCCTTCCACTCGCCCTTCTAACTTCTCCTTTCCATCGACTGCTGTCCCTGTGACCTGGCTGAGATGGAGATACACCCCCTTTGTACCACCTCACCTCCAGCTTTGGAGGTGTTCTTGGGTTGTTCTCTGCGCCCTCAGCCTCTAAATTTCAACAGTCTCTCCCTAAAATGATCTGGGGGGAGTGGGGAAGAAGATGAAAATATCAGGAGGAAAGAGGGAGGGAAACCCTTGCAGGCCCCAGAGCAGTCAGGACGCAGTGTGGTGAATGTGACCACAGTACTCTGCTGTGAGTCGGTCAGATTCCTCTATCCCAGTGGCCCCTGAGTCATTCCATCTGCCCTGCTATCCTCTCATCCACACGTGATCTAGATTTAAAAAATCTTGCATCTGCTGCGGGCTGAAGAGAAGGAACAACGAGAAGGTTGCCTACAAGGTGCTGCAGGAGGAGTACAGGAAGCTGGGGCCCCTGACCTACGCCGAATGCAATGTTCTCTTCTGCTTCATCCTGCTTATCCTCCTGTGGTTCTCCCGAGACCCCGGCTTCATGTCTGGCTGGCTGTCCATTGCCTGGGATGATGGAAAAACCAAGTAAGTGGTGGCAGAGGAAGGCCTTATTAGGAGAATGTGTCTACATGCTACTGTTGCTTGGGCGCTGTGTTGCGGAGCTAGGCTTCAGAGGAACATTCTGTGGGCTTCATTCATTTGTTTCTGTGGCTCCCTCATGTCCCACAGAAGACTGAACCAAAAATGCTTGGTGAGCAGGGTGACCAGAGCCCTGGTACAGTTTATTGGGCTGCAGTAGGTCCCTTAGAGCCATGGTTTCTGCCATCCTCCTTTCTTATCTTTCTTCAGAAGCTATCTAAGATGCATCAAGTTTACTTGTAAACTTAGTGAGAGAGAGTACATGTGGGCTCTCCCCTGGCTTTGATGGGGTGGCATACAAGAAAGCTGAGGAATGACTATTATAGCAAAGATAGAAGATATGAGTCAGGAGGTGACTGCCTGAGGCTGCCTATTCCATCTTGGTTATTTGGCTTAGCAGCAGAGTTTGTGAGGTCCGGTGAATCCAGAAGTCTAAAACTCCTGGTTAAGAAATCATGAAGTTCACCCATAGAGCAGTGTAGGCTGACGGGGGGGGGGGGGGTGAGGGGCAGGGGGCAATCACCCAAAGTTGGTGGCCAAGAATTTCAGGGTATTGGTTGTAGCAAGACTCAGCCTCCCACCCACTCCTAATCTTGATTTGGGGGCCTTTGGTTTTCATACGTAGCAGAGCCTGTTTCCTCCTGAAGGAGCATTTAGATGCGGAACTGTGGGTCGGGGCAAATTTGTTGTATGACTATCACTGAGTTCCTACATGTGCTTCCCTACATAGTTATATCACTGATGCCACAGTGGCCATCTTTGTGGCCATCTTGCTTTTCATTGTACCTTCACAGAAGCCCAAGTTCAACTTCAGCAGCCAGACTGAGGAAGGTAAGGCTTCTCATGGCTTTACAGCCATCATGATTGGATCCCCGTGGGATGCTGTCTGGGTCTAGAGGGCAGAGAATTCTGTCCTACTGAACATGACTGGCTACATTACAAAGGCTAGGATAACTGAGATTGTTAAGATATGTACATTTTCTTTTTGTATTTCAATACTTGAAATTTTATTTATACATCACAGCAGGTACAGGAAGTGTTTTAAATTATCCATAATGGTGTCAACATTTTTTCTTTCGTCCTGTTTTTTGATATGCATATATACTTTAAAAAGTTGTCATCTAAGCACACACAGCTTGAACACTGTCTCTTTGTTGTTTTTATTGCTTGTAATTCTTCAATACTTTATCACATAGAGGGATCCTGTAGCCATCCTACTATAGAGTATTTGGACATGTTTTTTTCTTTAAAATTTTTAAAATTTACCCCCCCCCGCGCCCGTGTGTGTGTGTGTGTGTGTGTGTGTGTGTGTGTGTGTGTGTGTCTGAGTGTGTGTGTGTGTGAGAGAGAGAGAGAGAGAGAAACAGAGACAGAGACAGAGAGACAGAGACAGAGACAGAGAGACAGAGAAACAGAGAAACACAGAGAGAGAGCACCAGAGTGCATCTTTGGAGGTCAGAGGACAGCCCTTGGGAGTTGTCTCGGGCTTGGTGAGATATACCTTTATTCTCCCTAAACCTTCTCACCAGCCCTGAACATTTCACTATAAGTCAAATATTCTGGATACAGCTTTTTCTTTGTAGGTGTTTCTTTAGGCAAAATACCTAGCAGTGTTACTGTCATGGTAAAATAACAGAGATGCCCTTAAATGCATAATAGTTTTTAAGAATATGACCAAGTGGCTGTTTGAAAAGGTGGTTCTGTCTTACGATGCCCTTAGCCAAGAATGTAGCCAAATCCTCCCCCAGCAAGAGGTTCCATGATTACCATGAGTTTTTAGCTACTATGCAGGTATGCACTGGTATCTCATTCTCTTTATTGCCTTGTTTCTTGTGATTACATCTCTTGCTTTCTAATGCATGTATGCACGAGTGTGTTCTTTTTCTTCACAGAAAGGAAAACTCCGTTCTATCCCCCAGCACTGCTGGATTGGAAGTTCACCCAAGATAAAGTGCCCTGGGGCATAGTACTGCTCCTGGGGGGAGGATTTGCTATGGCAAAAGGATGTGAGGTACTTGTCCAGCTCTAGGTGGCCCTTGAGTTCTACTAAGAGGTGGCAAATGTCACCATCTTCCCCTTCCATCCCTGGGCTGATCGTCTCCACCACAGAACTGCATATTCTTTAAGCATGGAACTCTGTGCTGTCATCACCAGCAGTGTCCTGACTCGGGAAACAGGGAAGCACGAGAGGCTGAGGATGCTGTAGCCTCAATGAGTCCTAGGGAAGACTCTCCCTGAGTATTCTCACCATGTCCATTGGGTCCTCTACTTTCTGAACTCCTTGTTGACATGGTTTTGGGATTTTGAAAACTTTTTCTAGCTAAGTACTTGCAGCATAGGAAAAGATCAGTTTTTAAGGTAATTTAACTGTCCTGAGCAGAAAGGGCTGAGCTAGCTTGGGGCTGCTATCACCCATCCATCTATCCCATCTTCTCTCTGTCTCCCTCTGATTCCTCTGGTGCTCTCTCTCTCTCTCTCTCTCTCTCTCTCTCTCTCTCTCTCTCTCTCTCTCTCTTCCTTCCTCCATCCCTCGCTTTCTCCTCCTTTCTCTCCCCTCCCTTCTATCCATCCCATCCCATTCGTTTGCCATTCCTTTCTTCTTTCCTTCCTCCTTATTTCTTTTTAATTATTCCTTCCTTCCTCGCCATCCATTCTCTCTTTGTAAACATCCATTCAACACATCCGACCATCTTTTTATCTATCTAGGAATGTAATGTAACAGATAGACTTGGTCTGTATTGTGTTTACTGTTTGCTTAGCACCTAGGGCAAAGCCTGGCACACAGTGCACACGCGCATGCTATTTCATTTGTGCTGGGGATCATCAAGTTAACACAAAACACTGTACCATTGAGCCATATCCACAGCCCAATATATAGGCTATATGTTTAAATAAGTCAATACATGTTTCAGATGAACAAACCCACAAGTCTAGTTACTTCTCTCTCTACCATTCCTCCACCCACCAACTTGTTTCTCCATCTGGCATTTTCTTTCACTTAACAAACATTCCTAGTATGTCCCTAGTGACAGACCAGGCATAGAAGTTACAGAAGACATTGAGACATAGGATCTGTTTCTGAAAACTTCCAGGTCTAGAGACTCCGGTGCATCTACAAGAGCCTTTTGGAAGAAGTGGCATAAGATCAGAGAGGTGCCTGGTTGTGGCAGTGAGGCTGGAGAGGCCGGCAGACACCTGCATTCTAAGTGTCTGGTTTCAGGGTAGCAGGTGTGGCCTTGATTCTGAAGGCAAAGAGACACAGCCGGGAACGGCTTGGTTAGATGTGCACTTGAGAACAGTCATCCTGAGTCTGGAGTGGTGGCTCGGGGCCAGCAGGCCTAGGGAAGAGCTAGAGGGCTCTCGGCAGCTGTCGTCTGACTCCTCCTCTCAACTTGGCCGCTTACCACCATGTTGATCTCCAGGATGGCTCTTTCTCCTGCCTTCCTCCTTCCAGTGTCCCTCCTCTTCTTCCTGCCTTCCTCCTTCCAGTGTCCCTCCTCTTCTTCCTGCCTTCCTCCTTCCAGTGTCCCTCCTCAACCTTCTCTGCTGGTTCTTCTTCCGTTCCCCCATCATTTCCAAGGCTCTGCCATTGCCCCCTTGTCTATCTGCTTTTTGCTCTTGTCATCCTATCCCAGAGTTCCAAGGCTAAATCCTCAGTGGTCCAGGTTATTCTCCAAAGTCTTGAGAATGTGGAAGCCTAAGGGGAGGAGGTGGCTAAGAGTCATCTAAGGTGACTTGTGATGACTGGGTCCTAGGAAGCAGCAGGTCATGAACCCTCCACTATGATTCCCAGTAGCAGTGGCAGGTAGATCCAGTTACTAGCTAGGGATCCCAGAGAAGCAGATTCCAGACTGAAGAAGAGGAACCTAGATTGGGCCATGTTGAGCCTGATGTGCTCACAAGATATTTGGACAGAAACTTCCAGATAACATCTGAGGTTTGAATCTAGTTAATAGATCAGCTGAGCCACAAACAAAGTTGTAGGAACCAAAAGAAAGAGGAGGATGAATATTGTAGGGATGGATCAGATTTCCTATGTGCAAGAGAGAGAATTGGAAATGGGGTGGACTGAGCTCCACGGACCCTGGAGGAATTGTAAACCAAGAGTCCTGAAATGATGGTCTTCTGTGCTTCCCAGGCTTCTGGGCTGTCTGAGTGGATGGCGAGACAGATGGAACCCTTGAGCTCAGTGAGACCGGCTGCCATTACCTTGATCTTGTCCTGTCTTGTTGCTATAACCACAGAGTGCACAAGCAATGTGGCTACCACCACCCTGTTCCTGCCTATCTTTGCCTCCATGGTAAGTAACTGTGCCGGAGAAGGGAAGAACATTTCATGGGAAGTTGTGACCCCATGGCCATTTCCTGAGTCAGTAAAATTAGGATCCAAAGCCTCACCAGGCTTGAAGACCCAGATGTGGCCCTGGCTGTAATGCGGTCTTGGGCACACTTGATGGCCCCGGCCCTGAAGCCCTCTCTCACTGCTTTGTCCACTCTTCTTGGTATTTCTTCACCACCGCCCAAAGCATCAACTTCATTTTATCAGTGAGCCAGACTAGGGATATAGCTCAGTGAAAAAGCACTTGTCTAGCATGTGCAAGGTCCTGGATTCAATCCCCAGTTACACACACACACACACACACACACACACACACACACACACACACCCCACACCACCACCACCAGCCATACATCCATCATAGTCATCTAACTACCTGGGTTATGTTTCAAGGTGGTGAGAAGAGGGCATATATCACAGAAAGAAGCCCAGGAGCTATGGGACTTGAGAGTGGGAGGATGGAGGAGGAGGCATGCCTGAAGACTTCTCAGGGAAGAGAGGGGTCACTGGGATCTGAGACAGAGAATGGAGGCGATAGAGAAAGGACTGATGAATGTTAATTCCAGGGCAAGCTCAGTTGTGAGCTACGAATTGAGGAGGAAGCAAAGCCTATAGGGAAATCAGCTGTTGTCTGTTCTTAAGTTACCTCTGTCATTCATTAAAAGTAGTATTGACTTCAGGGAATTCAGGAAAAGCCAGATGACCTATGCCCCATCCTAGAGGTGTGCTGAGAGTCCCCATGAACCGTACATGAACCACAGAGAACCTGAATGAGGGAACCACCAAAGCTGTCCTGGAGAGGAACAAGAAAGGCTGTGGTTAGTCTGAGCTCAGAGACAGACTGATTCACAGAAGCTCTGAGCCTCGTTACAAAGTTGGTAAATTCTCATCCCAGCAGCCTGGGGCATCCAGTTCAAATAAGCAAATCTGAGTGGTTTTTCTTTCTATTCCTAGGAAGACAGAAGTGTTTAAAATAGCAAGGGAAATGTTTCCTTCACTAAGCAGGCTGCCCACACAAGGCTAAGGAAGCAGAGAAGGAAGGGGTGAAGGAGGAGGAGAGGGAGAGAGAAAGAGAGGAGGAAGAAGACAGGCTGAGGAGGATCAGGAACGGGGCAGGGAGGGTCTTTTGATACTGGGCATGCAGTGGAGATGCTCCTCTCTTAAGCAAAGGCTCTGGCTTTGTCATCTCCTGTGAACCCTGTGAGCACAAATAGCCCCTCCTAGGCAAACACAGGCTTTAAGCTAAGGAGGTAGTTGGGCCCTTTGAAAACAAACTCTTCTATGGGGCTGGAAAGATAGATCAGTGATTAAGAGCATTGATTGTTCTTCCAGAGGTCCCAGGTTCAGTTCCCAGAACCCACATGGAGACTTACAGCCATCTGTAACTCTAGTCCAGGGGTCCAACGCCCTCTTCTGGTATCCTCAGGCACTGCACACACATGATGCACAGACATACATCCAGGCAAACACTCATACACACACGCATATGATGCACAGACATTCATGCAGGCAAACACTCATATACACAAAGTAAAAGTAAATAAAATTTCAAAAGATAGACTCTTTTAGAGCTAAAATTTCAGAGTAAATTGCTCTTCATGTTCCTGCCTGAGCACTCACACGTGGAAAGTGAAAAGCGGTGGGCATTGAACTGAGTGCCACTGTTTGCACACACCATTGTGATGCTGCTAGCCATTGCATCAGTTTCCTGTGTGTTGGTGGTAAATCATTGTAGTGAGATCTCTGTAGATGTGTTTGCCCATGGAAATAAACCTGATAAGGAGTCCCTTTGATAGCTGTTAAAATTGTGTTATCTATTTATTCACTAAATATGTGGCAAATGCCAACTCTGTACTAGTAGATGTACAATTTTAATATGTAAAATGAAAAAGGTGGATACTGGGTTCCAAATTCAAAGCGATCCCATGGTAAGAGGACTGAATCCAGTTCTTCAGACTGCCTCTGTCTATGACAAGGCAGGTAGATGGCTCACAGGACATTTTAAGATTCAGTACAGGCTAGAGGAAGTCCAGTGTGGCCTCTGGCTTGTAGCAAGTGTTGCCCCCAAAACATATGAACTAAATTGAGGGGCTCCAAAAAGGCCTCCAGGAGAGGTAGCCTCTGAGCTCAGTCTTCTGTGGTCAGTAGTTACCATGTAGAGAAGCACATGGTTCAGAGGGAGTAGCCAGACACAGTGGAGAAGGCTGGGCTGTAACCCAGGCCTCAGGAGATGCTTCTGAAGTATGGCCAGCTTCTGTGTGTTCTGTGCTGTGAGTTGCAGTGTTGTGTGTCTCCCCAGTCTCGCTCCATCGGCATCCACCCGCTGTACATCATGATTCCCTGTACCATGAGTGCGTCACTTGCCTTCATGTTGCCTGTGGCCACCCCGCCTAATGCCATCGTGTTTGCCTATGGACACCTCAAAATTGTTGACATGGTAACATCTCCTTTTACTCGTTCCTGTTGGATGTTATTGGAATAAGGGATGTCCCATTTATGAATGGTGTGTGGGTTTCAAAAGGATGGCATATGGGGCTGGGGAGATGGCTCAGCTGGTAAAGCACTTGCTGTGCCAACATGAGGACCTGAGTCTGGATTCTCAGCACCTACACAAAAAGCCAGGCATGGTGCTGCATGCCTGTGACCCCAGGACTGGGGTGGTGAAAGCAGAAGGATCTCAGGGACTCCTTGACTAGTCAGGATAGCCTAATCAGTGAGCTTCAGACCCAGCTTCATGAAACAGAGGGCTGGAGAGACGGCTCAGTGGTTAAAAGTGCTCACTGTTCTTATAGAGGACCCAGGTCCAGTTCCCAGTGCCCACACAGTGGCTTACAACTGTCTGTAGCTCTTCAAGCACCAGACATGCACATTGTACACACACACACACACACACACACACACACACAGGCAAAGCACTCAGACACATAAAATAAATCCAAAAATATTTAAAGATGAAGAATTATAGAGGAAGACACGCAACACCAGCTTCTGCCCCCACTCCCAAACGCAAGCATGAGTGAGCACACCAGCGCACACACAAGGAAAGAACAAGGAAAAAAATAATAGAAGGCCCTCCTGTGACCTGAGAGTGCCACAGAACACCTAGACCTGTATTTGACATTTTCGTTTATTGTTCAGCCTTTCTTATTTATTGAAATGATCTCATATTTTATATGAGTTCTGTTCCCATGGAAGGTGCTATCTGGAGAAACCTTTCTGGGTCCCAGTGAAGTCCTGGCTGAATGTTTGGAAGGGATGGAGTGGGGCCCTCATATGACATCAGAATTCACAACTAGCAAGAACCCTGAGGACATTAAGGAGGGGGACAGTAGTCAGAGAGACCTGTGGGGTGTCTGAAGAAGGGATGCATGAATGACATGCCCATTTGCTTGGGAGTCAGTGATGCCTTGGAAGCCAACAGTCACAGACAGAGCTTTGCAAGCCGGGTTTGACTTTCTCACCTCTGGTGGGGGAATAGTAATTCTGTGACTCTGGGCTAGGGATGAGTGATTAGGTGAACTGGGGAGCCCCATTGGTCCTTACCTTGGGCACTGTGGGATTCCTCCTGAGTTTTCTTTAAGCACATCAATCCCAGAACCCACACGCTGCGAATTTGATTCTGAGCCCCAGCAAAAAGTCCATGCTAGTGTGTTGGAGTGATGGCTCATGAAAGTTAGGGAGGCATTCAGCCTGGGTGGCAGAAAGAGCTGGAGGGCTACAGGAGTGGTGAGTGTCTTGTATCACCTCTCCAAAGTTACTTCCCAACACCATATGCGTGTAGAGAACCTACCTGTGCTGACTCCTTTCTGGAGATTCCTCCATCAATGATGACACTTGAATTGCTTTGTCTGGGGATGAGAGGGGCCCTGAATACAGGAACACAAGGCCCAGACAATTCCTGTGTTGCTGACTGATCTTGTTTTTATTCTGTAGGTAAAAACAGGATTAATAATGAACATCATTGGAATCTTAAGTGTGTTTTTGTCAGTCAACACCTGGGGACGGTCCATATTTAACTTGGATGTTTTCCCTGACTGGGCTAATTTGACAAGTATCAACACTTAGGAAGAGCCCCAAGAGCACAAGCATTGGCCCCCCACCCTTTTGAGGACTTTGAACCTTCTGGCACACCTTGCACAGAACACTGGTGCTCAGACCCCAGTGTGATCCAACGATGCCAACACCCCAAGAAGACCTAGCCGACTAGCCACCTCTTTCTCCAGGCTCAGATTCAGAGATGGTAATAGGTGACTGGAAGATAGGTTTAGAAGAGGAACCAAGTCCCTTTGAAAGGCTGCAAAGCCCATCTTCCCCAGGACCCTGCCATGCCCTCTGGGACAGACAGGAAACAGGGACCAGGACTCAAGACCCTGTACCATGTGACTTTGAAGGACTACTGGTCTCCTGCTGGGCTCTGGCTCTCACATGCTTGTTCTCATGGTGGCCACATGGGGATCAGACCACCAGGATGAGAGCCCAGCCCCTGTGCCTCTTCTGCTCTGTCACTCTGAAGGGACTTCCCATCCAGGACTGAACTCTGATCTTGAACAGCTTCCCACTGCCAGAGTGAGGGCTGGAGTTAAGGTCTCCTGAAGACTTGGACCCTACCTGGTGCCATCACCAAAGGCTGAGCCACCTGCGGTGCTAACATCACAACATGCCTGCTCACCCTTGGCTGACATGTCCCCTACTTGCCTTGTTTCATATTAATTAACAATTCAAATCCCTTCCCCAGTTCCCACTGACTCCTAGATCCCTTTATTTTCTTGGACGGAAGCTGCTCAGCCCCCTGGCCAAGGCTCCTGAGAAAAACCTCTGTTTTTCCAGGGAGCTCAGTTTGATTCTTCTGGGAATGCTCTTCCTGCCAGCCTAGTACAGCTCGGATCACACTCCGAGGATGGACAACGGTGTCTCTTTGGGGGGTGGTATCAAAGTGGGTTACCTAAGTCTCCCCTTGGCTAGACCCAGAGCAGATTCAGCAGCTCATCTCCAAGGACCGGGCCACTGCAGTTAGTCTATCTGCTGGAGTCTGAGCTCCTCTGGGAAGGTCTTTCTGTTGCTGGCTGTATGTTGTGGTCAAGCCTGGTGTCCACCAGAGCATGGTTGAGACTGAGTGGTTTGTTGGTCCCTGAGCAGACAGGCCCTGCCAGAGTAAATCAATTGACCTGACAGTGTGGGAAATTACTCCAGAACGTCCATGGGAACCCATAGGACCCCTGGCATGAAAAGGAGATAGGAGAGGAAGCTCTCCCTTGTCCCTCTGTGACACTCTCTTCCCTGATGAAAAGAAGCTCTGGTGGGTAGATAAGGTCCATGGATGTCATTTTTCCAGGCAGAAGACAGCATGGGGACCCCAGGAGTCCCCATCAAAGACGACCATTGTGCCTGGTTCCTTGAGAGGGATAACTCCTGACCACGATGTTGAAGGCTTACTCTTGTCAAATACTCTGCTATGGAAAGTTCCAGTGTGCTGACTGGTCTGTGATTTTGTGCCTTGTGGGGAAGACAGAGGGAGGTAGATGAATAAACAGTTACTCTCTGTCCACCTCCTGGGTGCTGGCCTTCCTGGACCTGGCGAATCTGCCAGTTATCATTTTCCATATTTGCGGCTACCCTGTGAGACAGCCGGCATTAGGATCCTCTCTTGTCCTAGAAGAAAAACAAGGTTTAGAGTAGACAAGGGACAAGTTCTATTTTCCAGCTAGTGGTAGTTCTGGTTCCTATAAAGATAGGCCTCTTGCTCTAAACCCTTTTCTCCTCCCTCTAACCGTGAAGGGCCTTAGTCTTATTGGGCTTATAGGCAAAGGTGTGTGGCTGAGAGTCAGCCTCCCGTAAGTCCCTGCTTACCCAGGAATGATCCCTAAACATGAGGCCTTCCATTTGCACCCTCTGAGATGGGCTCAGGACAGTGCTGAATTAGACAGAACTGGTCCTCTCCCTAAGACTTTCCCCGAGGAGAGTGTGATAGAAATAGTGACCATCATGTCACATTGATGGCCTCACCTTACCCAGTTCTCTGATCTCCACAGCCCTATTGTGACTGAAGTCCTCGACTGGTGCTGGGTCTAGAGCCAGCACTGTGGCTGAGCCAGAGCAGGGTCACCATGAATGACCAAGGACTGATCTGTGTAGAATGGGCATGTGCTTCATGCAGTGGGAAAAGTCAGGGCGGAAGAGCATCCCAAGAGGGCACTGAAAGATAAGTAGTGTGGCCAGTGGGGAGGACAGGATTTGGTAGCATGAGTGGAAGACTCTCGTCCTAGATACCAGAACCCATAGTGGAAGAGGATGACCTAAGGCTGTCGCTAAGTGACATCTCTTACAGCTGTGTGGAGGTGCACCAATATGTCTGGCTTGCATTCATGTGGAATGCTTTGGGGTGTAAATAACCGAAACCCCAGTGGATGGGGCATTGGCCATAGGACAATGATGTTTACTTAATCAAAGTGTGGAGATAAGATCATCCAGTGGCTCACTACACCACCAAAGGCTGGGCCTCCACAGTCTACTCTGTCATCCTTAGGGAGTCATAGTTTTGCCCTCTCACTGAAACCTTGGGTCACATCTACTATGTTCCTTCTAGGAATGAAGAGAGGAATCTAGGGGTGTCTGGTGGTGCCAAAGTGTGTCTTCCTCTTATTAGGGAAAACAGCCTCTCTTAGAAGCCCTAGGGAGACTCTCCTTCATGTTTCATTAGGTAGAACCAGGTCACATGCATTTCCTTTGACCTGCCACTGACAGAAATAGGTTTCAGTGCCAGCGCCATGAATTGGGAATTAGCCTGTTTCCATTCACTAAACAAAAGAAAATCTAAATTCTAGCAGGAGAAAAGGCGAGGTAGGGGGAGCTGCTGGGTAAGCAACAGTGTCTGGTGCCATCTCCCCGGGCCACTTGGTGGCTCCATCTCCACAGAATGCCACAGGAAAATGTTAGCAAATAGCAAGAAAGCAGGTGGCTTGGCTATCAAAGAGTTTCAGCACTGTCTCCACTTTCCAAGGGCCAGGCTTCCTCTGAGGGGCCCACTGGACCAACGTGGTTGCAGTGTGTGCCATAGACCCAGCTGGGTCCCCATATGTGACATGGAGCAAGTCATTCTGTCCTCTGGGCATCTGTTTCCACTGTGAAAGGGTCAGACTAGACGGTCTGTTAGGGCCTTTCCCAGAGCTGGGGATCCTCATCTTAGGTGACCACCCCTTTCTTTCTGCCATCTACGACTCCTCCTCAGCGTCACTGTTCCCATCCCCATGCATCGGCTGGGAGCAAGCCCATGACTTTCGGCTCCCATCTGATGTTTAGCCAGTAGCAGAAGGCTGTCTTTGGCCATCACCTATATTTGCCTTCAACATATTGTATTGAGTCCCTTTTCTTGATATGTCAACCAGACATTTGGGGTCACAAATTAGCTGAACACAAAATCCTGACCATTATTATCTTCTAAATGTATTTACCAGGGTCTTAGGAGTTCATAAGGAGCTTTCATTCCAAATGCCAAGGCCCAGGGGCTTCTTACTCTCTGATCACCAATTAGGTGTCTCCAAGGGCAGCCTGTGGGTCTCCCTCCCTGCTTCCTCTGAGCTCAGTTTCTTTGGGGCATCTGCCTAGGACAGGTAAAGTCACATCTCCCAAAACCTCTTGCTTGTAATAGAGAGGCTGGACATCAACTCACTAAGAGTCACCCCTGAAATGGAGAAAGATACTCTTGGTAAGGACATGGGTATATTCTTATTTGCAGAAATAAAAGCAAGCTACTGCATTGTCTGGCTGTCCCATTCCAGAGCAGGCTCCCTTCTCCCCAGTGGCCTCGTTCCAATCCCACAACATCTTAAAAGTCTTGTCTTAGCCTAACAGAGGAAGTTTCACCCTCTTAACCATCACAAGACTTTCACTCAGACAAATTTCCCCATATCACAGGAGGGACTGGAAGTGTGTGACATGTCAGCTCAAAATCTTTGCAACCAGATTTTCAGTAAATTTCCACTGGTGTCTGGAACCAGGGAGAACCTAGGCGCTTGGGAGCTTGAAGGATCTGCCTGTCCAAATGCCACTTCCAACTTGAAACCTCGAGTTGTTCCCTCCTTCCTGACCTATCAAGGGGAGAGAGAGGTTAGAATTCAACCTCAGAACACCCTGTTATCCAATGAAGGCTTTAAATCAGGCTTCATAGTAACAAGAATTAATATGAGCAAACTAAGAAATGACAACAGAACAAAGAGCTATCTTAATATGTCTTCCACTTCAGACCTGAGTCCCCACAACCCCTCTCCAAAGATAACTGTCAGCACTTGCTCACAGAGCCTTCTGGAAACATTGCGCATATCCAAGGTTATATATAAAAAGTGTCTCTTTAGGGCAGATAGAATCCTATGGCATGTGTATTCTGTCTCGTTTCTTCCCTTCCGCCCCACATAAAATCATTTATTTGGAGGTTATCCCATTCCAAGGGATATTAAGCTTGGCTAGCAATTTTTCATTCAGTAGTTAATTTTGAATTTGAATTAAGATAAAATCAAAGGGTATAGAGAGATGGATCAGTGGTTAACAATACTGGTTGTTCTTCCAGAAAACCTGAACTCAGTTCCCAGCACCCACATGGTGGTTCACAAACATCTGTAATGCAGTTCCAAGGGATTCACTATCCTTTTCTGACTCTCAGGGGCACCAGGCATGAATGTGTTGTGCAGACATACATGTAGGCAAACATTTATATACATAAAATAATGAAAATATTTTAAAACAAAAGATAAGTTCACATTTTGTAGAAGGTACAGCCTGAAGTGTGTGCAATCCAGTGATTTTGACAAAGACACCTACCTTGTAAGGCACACCCTGATTCCATCACCCTCCCCTTAAAAGATTTTCCCATCTCTTCCAGAAACCTATTCTTCCTTCAGGCAGGCAGGTCCTGGTTTGTCTGTGTGACTTGGTTTTACCCCCTGAACATCCTAGAAAAAACATCACATAGTTCATACTCTTCGATCTGATTTATTTTGCTTGACAAAGTACTTTTGAAATTTATTTCTGTTGCTGTGCATATCTGTTCATTTATTTTCCTATTGTTATATAGTAACCCATCATATGACCTCACTGTAATTCAATTATTCTATTCTGTGGGTGGACGTTTGGGTGTTTCCAGTTTGGGGCTATTATGAATAAAGCTATTTCAGAAGTCTCTGGATGGTATGTTTTTGGTGGACATATGCTTTCATTTCTTTTGGAAGGTCTGAGAGTGAGTCTCCATCTTTTAAATAGCTGCTCATGGTCCACTGTAAGAATGTACCACAGAGTAAACAAGTGCCCCACTGGTGGACATTTAGGTTACTTCCTATATAAGGCTGGTGCTACCCAAGAGGAATCTGTGTGTTAGTGTTTGTACACATAAGTAAGAAAAGTATGTTCCTAGAATGACATGCTTGCTTGAAAGATGAGTTTTGGATTCTGGGAAACCAACATGAAGTAATTTGCTAAGAGGTTCCGTCCAGGTGTGTTTTAAGAGCTGTGCCTGGGCCTGATCTCACATACGCCTGGGAATAAAATTCTACCTTTGTTCTTTTATCTTTAAAAAATGCTTTTTATGGCAGACATCCATCCATCCATCCATCCATCCATCCATTCATTTATGTGATGTTAGGGCCTAATGAATGTTAAGCTCTATTGCTAAGTTATAACAGTCATGTATTACTTTAAGTTGTGAATAATGTTGGACATTTTCCCTTGTGTTTATAGTCTATTTAAAGATTTCTGGTTCTTGCTCATTTTTTTTAAAAAAGAGTATCTTTTAAGAGTTTTTTTCCAGAGGTAGGCATTGGTGGTGCAGACCTTAAATCCCAGCACTGACGACAGAGGCAGACAGATCTCTTAAGTTTGAGGCCAGTCCTGGTCTCCAGGACAGCCAGGACTATACAGAGATCAGGTCTCAAAAATACAAGACACAGACACATACACAAATACACACACACACATACACACACACACACACACACACACAGTGGGAGAGAGGGAGAGATTCTCATTTGTCAGAACTCTTTATATATTGAAAAAATAAGCCATACATCATGAGATTTTTACATAAGATTCTCTGAGGCTACTCACTCTTGTTTATTCTTTCTTTTCATTTTTGTCCCAAGCTAGTCTCACATATTTTTCCATAAGAATTTCTGAATCAGCTTCTCTGGTTCCAAAACATCGCTGGCTGTCCGGTCAGCATCTACATCCCTGGCTTTGTCTCCTACTCTTCTGCCCCCACCCCCAGGGAGCCTTGACCTCAACGCTATGGACAATTCGGATGGAACAGTTGTGCTGTTAGGGGCTGCTGTTGCTGGACGATAGGGGATTTATTCGCTGTGTGCCAATAGCAACTCCTCCTCCAGCTGTGGCGATGAAAACTGTCTCCAGACATTGCCAGATATCCCCAGGAGGGCAGAATCCCCTGTGACTGAGAGCAACCAACTCCCTCTCATCTTGCTGTCCTGGCTTCTAGCTGTCCCTTCTCTGACTCAGATCTTTTCTTAGAAACTTGCTTTACACTGCTTCAGATTGCACCTCTCC